AGCAGCATTATTCATAAAGCCAAAAACGTGAAATGACCCAAACGTCCATCAACTGATGAACATAAAGAAAACAGAATATAGTGGAATATTACTCCACCATTTTTTTAAAAATGAAATACTGATAAATGCTACAACAGAGATAAATCTCAAAAACATCACACCAAGTCAAAGAAGCCAATCAGACCATATAGTGTATGACTTCATTTATCGGAAATGTCCAGAACAGGTAAATGTCAAATGCATAGAGACAGAAAGAATAATAAAGTAACAAAAATGACATAAAAGTACATAACACTACTGACTGTACAACTCAACAAATATGATTTAAAAGCCCACTGAATAAATAGAATCAAAGGGCTGGGGATGTAGCTCAGTGGCGCCGCACCTGCCTGGCAAGTACAAGGTTCTGAGTTTGAACCCTGGTACCAAAAAAATAAAAATTAAAAATAAATAAATAGAATCAAAACTTTTAAAGTCTGGAGATGTAGCTTATGGTTAAGGCCTTAGGTTCAGTCCTTTGTATCACACACATACAGAAAGAAAACTGACCAATGGAGCTGGGGTTAAGCTACCCACTCTCCTGACAGATCACCACTTTCACGCACACAGTCAACAGTCCCTATGGGAACATGCATTCTATTTTCCAAACTTACCTACACATCGGCTTCCATAACCCTCAAAGTGACTCAAAGTGGAAGCTGCCACTCTCCGTCAAAAAATACCCTACTTTGCCCAAGAAGTCAAAGGCAGGTTAAACTGGACCTAAGAAACCATCCTGCCTTACCATGGTGACAGACACCCACACTAACATTTTCTTTTAGGATAAAATTTTCATATAATATGAGGCCTAAAGATTCACTTTTTATTTAAAAGGGGGCTGTTCTGCATCACATTATCATTGTAACTAGTTACATAAGGTATACCAAGACGCTTCAAAATGCTAAGAATTACACACTGAGATTTTACTTATACAAAATTTAAGACTACCTAATGAATTAGCCATCTATTTGCTCAAAAAAAATTGTAAATTAATTTGCTGATGAAGATCTGAGAAACCCCAAGGACCAATCTAGAAAATTAAATTGATTCAGGGCAAGAAGATAATTCCAGAAATATATTCAATTGTATTAATAGTATAAGCACCTAGGCTGTGCCTGAGACATCAGATAAAATGTATCTGTGTGTATCCAGTACTAACCAGATTTAAAAACCAGGCAGAGCTAGTGGATGCAAGTGCTTTAGTCACTAGAATTATTTCTACAAAAGTGTTGCGGAATAGGAAGAGTGTGTCATTTATCTTTTTCACTTTTGATAAAATGTCCCTTTGTTCTTATCCTAGGCTCACAAGCAGTGTTTGTACCTGGTTTCCCAAGTTAGATGATACTAAGGAAAAGCCTAGTTTACATAGATTAATATTTTATTTTCTGCATTCATAAAATTTGGGTCCTGTCTCTTGAAGAAATGGAAAATTCACAGACATGGTGCCCACCTGTAATCGCAGCAGTTGGGGAGGTTGAGACAGGAGGATCACAAGTTTGACCCCAGCCTGGGGAATTTAGTGACTTAGATCCTAGTCAAAGTAAATCCGGGCTAAGGATGTAGCTCAGTGCAAAAAGTTCAGAGTTCAATCCCCAGTACTCCCCCCAACACACACACAGACAAATTACTCCTTAAGCGCCCATCAACACTGGGTAAACACAATAAAATAACATTAAAATAGCATTTCTCATCCTGCAAAGCTAAAATTTTTCTAGAACTAGGTAATTTCTGCATAGGCATGTATATGCAGGTACTATGTTTTGATTTTTACAATATTTACTACATTATTTGATTCTATTACAGCTTACTGGAGACAGCATAGGCTATACCTTAAACACAGGCTATCAAAGCAGTAACTGTAAATACTAAGAGCAACGGCTAACATTTCTGTAGGGTTCACTGGCACCAGCACAACTGTGTGACGTGTTCTAACTCATTTAATCCTGTAACAACTCACAGGCAGGTACTACTATAAACTCTACTCTACATATGAGTAAACTGAAGCAGAGGAGGTGGAACTTGCCTGGAGTCACACAAGCTAAGTGTGGCAGGGCTGAGATTCAATCCAGGATGCCTGGCCCCAAAACTGGTGTCTTTAATCTCCTGTTGGTATACCAATTATCTCTCTATATATGTATGTAGTCAGGGGTTTTTTTTTTGCACCACTCCTGGCTCCAATTTTCTCAGTTTAAAAAGCCTTATTTTTCAAAAGTTTTTAAATTCCACGTATAGTACAGAAAAATGTTTCCCAGATCTCATGAGTAGGTGGTTACACTGGAAATGGTTTACCCATTAATTATGGCTCCCCCTACTTTTCATAAAATCATTATGAAATTTTCAGAAATACAGACAAAATCAGAAAAAAATATATTAACCATTGTTTTAAAATTTAAATATGCTCACTTTTCAAAGCATACCTTGAGTTGTAAAGTATATGTATAAAATAAGAGTTTTATAATAGAACTGGATACTAACATAAAAGCAAAGGTATAGTTTTTATTTTGGTACCGGAGATCGAACTCAGGACCTTGCTCTTGCGAGGCAGGCACCGGAACCACTGAGCTAAATCCTCAGCCCTGGTATAGTTTTTAAAGGATACTGTCTTTTTTTTAAAGAAAACACATTGAGTCTGACTAGTGATTTAAATGAATTCAAATCACTTTCATGTTAACTTCAAATCCCTAGTTCTCTAGTTATAAACTTAGAGTACTTAATACCATAATTTGTTTTATAGATTAGAATGTATTTTACAAGTCAGATGGTAATTAATCTCATTATCATTAATAAACACCTATGCATTTGCACCTGAGCATGGTGGTGCACGCCTATAATCCCAGCAATCGGGAGGCAGAGGCAGGAGGATCCCTGCAGGTTCAAGGCCAGCCTGAATTGCGTAGCAAGACCTTGTCTCAAAAAAAAACCCAACTTTTGCATTTGTGATTTCCTTAAACTGAATGAAGTCAACATATCCACTGAATGGCTACATTCCAAAATTTCTATGAAATAAAGAAAAAAGCTCTTTGGATGAAGTAGTCTCATGCCATCCTAGTAATATTCTATCTCTTTCTCTGGGTGCCAATTACAAGAGTATGTAAAGTTTAGAAAAATTAAGCCATATACTGCTCTGTGTATTATACATACTCAATAAAAAGCTACATTTCTTAACTCTACTTCATCAGAAACTATTACTATTATCTTTCTTGGAAGTTGTGATTTTAAAAAGTTGTGTTTTTTTTTAATCAGGAGAGTACTCAATAGCACTGAGCAATATTGAATTTATACTTTCAGTATATGGGGACAAGGTGCTATCAAACTGGGAACTGATCTCAGGACCTTGTGCTTGCCAGGCAGGCTTGGTGCCAACGAGCTAAATCCCCAGGCCCCATCCAAGATTTTCTATGGAACCAAAAAGTGCTACATAATTGTTCCACAAATCCTCAAGATTTGAAGATCTCAAAGGGAAAGAAAACATACTGTTAGTTTCTATGTGCTCATTTTATTCCTACAAGAACTTAACAAGAAGGTATTACTACACACTTATGACAAATTGTGTTTTCTAAAGGTGGCCACTATGCTCATTCTATATCAAATGCTTTTCTTATAACGATGCTTTTCCTCTATTGAGAAGTGTTTCTTCTTCTCTAAACTGTGTAGAGCTTCATACTAGCTTCGAACAAGAAAATGTGAGAGAAGTGAGCGGTGTGACTCCCAAGTTGACCTGTAAGGGAGAAGAGCCTCCCCCAGCTTGGTCTCCTTCAGAACGCTGGCCTAGGACACTGCCACCAGCCTGTGGGTAGATGTCCCCAGCCAGCCACAGAGACACCTGAAGCCAAGAAGGACCAAACACCAGGCCTGGGTGACCAAGCCTTTTCCAGTTGATCCAACCCCACCCTTTCAGTCTGCCAGCTGGACCCCCATGGTACAGGGGGATGGACACACTGTCCCTTGTCTGGACTAACCCACGGAAACCAGGAGCCAAGAAATGACTGTTTTAAGCCATTACACATTTGAGGTAATTTGTCAGACAGCAACAGAAAACTGAGTGTGTTACAAATAAGAAGCACATCTCCGATGTAGCTGGTGGCCTTGAAACATGTCTTTCCCTGCTCTGACCCATTCTCTGCATTGCCAACCAACTTCTCTATCTCCCTCAATCGTAGTACTCAAAAACTGCCAAAGACACTACCTTACTGACAAAACTCCAGACCAAATTTCCTTGTCTGCCTTCCAGGTTTTGTGTAATCTGATCCTAGCTTAGTCGGTCAAACACATTTCCCATTTATGGAAAAAACCTAAGTGAATCTCTTCAGTCTTTCCCAATTCACTTCCCCTCCTCTGGCTCATCCCATCATCCAGATCTAGAAGAGACTCTCAAGCGCTCATTCTCAGCCCCAACTAGTCTCTTCTCTCAGACTAGAACCAACTTATAGAACTAGAATTCTCAACCTTAACCATCAAGTTCAGTAACATCATAACAGCTGACAGGTATTTAGAGGACAGGAATCACCGGAGCTGCCGGAAGCCTTCCAAGACACAGTGCTAGAAGTGGGCTCTGAGTGACAGGCAGGATTTGAACCTGCAGAAGGACAAAGCCCCTTCATTAAGGAATTACCTGACAGCCTTCCCTTCCACATCCCCCTCTCACATCTTAGCTTTCCTTCAGCCAGCAACACCTGCTTGAAGAAGCCTTCCTCAGTTTTTGTTTTTTTAAGCCTTCCTCAGTTTACTCAGAACCTAACACTCTCTTCTCTGAGGCCCTAACAGTTACTCTCTATATCACTCACTCTAGCACTTTTTTCCCAGTGTAGACCTCAGCCCTTCTACCTGAGTACTGACTCCTGGAAGACAGCAAAATCTCTACAACAAGCATTCACATGTGTTCAAGTAAACTCAATTCAGTAGCCATTTCTGCTTCCAGGTATTTAAAAATCCACTTAATGTAACACTGTTTCTTAACTTACCTGGCATCTCCTTTGGAAAGATTTGGATTTACAGGATTAAGAATAACCTTGTTTGCATCAACATCCACCACACATTTGGTATGCAAGTCAATTTCTGCAGATAAAAAGAACAAGAAAGCCATTTTTAAAAAGTAATTTACTTTGGAAAAAGTATTTGACAAAAATCCAACACTCTTTCATGGTGAAAACAAACAAATTAGGAATAGAAAACTTTCTCAACCTAATCATGAGCATCTAGAAAAACCCACAGCTAACACCTCACTTGACAGTGAAGGACCAAACAGCCTAACCTCAACATCAGGAATAAGACAAGGATGTTTACTACTCTTCTCTCCAACATTGTACTAGAAATTCTAGTCAGGGCAGTTAGGCAAGAAAAACAAATAAAAGGCATCCAATTGGAAAGGAAGAAGTAAAACTACCTCTGAAGATACGATCTTGTGTGTAAAAAGTCCAACCAAATCTACTAAGAAACTCAGAATAAACAAGTTGTGTAAGGTCGAAGGATATAAGAAAATACAAAAATCAGCTGTGCTTCTATACAGCAACAATGAAAAATCAGGAAATAAAATTAAGAAAACAGGGCCAGGGATTTAGCTCAGTGGTTCCGGTGCCTGCCTCGCCAGCACAAGGTCTCGAGCTTGATTCCCGGTACCAAAAAAAAAAAAAAATTAAGAAAACAATTTTACTTATAATACCATCAAAAGTACTAAACTACTTAGGAATAAATTTAAAAGAAATGCCAAGACTTGTACACTGAAAATTCCAAAACACTGTTGAAAGAAAACAAAGACTTACATAAATGGAAAGACATCCCCTGTTCATGAATTGAGTTCACATCATCTAGATGGCAGTACTCCCTAAATGTACAAGATTCAAGGTAGGAAATGGGGCTGTAGCCCAGTGTGCATGTTTTTAGTGCAGTCCCCAGCAACACATACACACATACACACATGCACACACACACACACGCACACTCACTCAAATGAATCTCTTTCCAAAAAGAGACCCAGAATAGCCAAAACAAGTTTGAAAAGAACTCACAGTCCCCTATTTCAAAATTTACTATAAATCTGTAGTGACCAAGACAATGTGCCACTACTACAATTATAATTATCTAGATACATAGATTAACAGAATACCACAGATACTGTATTTAGATTAATAGAGTAGAACTGAGAGTCCAGAAAAATACTACCCCATTTAGGATCCACTGATTTTGACAAGGATTCTAAGACAATCCAATGAGGAAAGAACAATCTTTTTTTTATGGTTTTACAATATAGTGCTTCTGGGACTTTTTGATGTAAATAAACATCCTACATTTATTAATTTTCAGAGTATCTTTTTAACATATGGTTCTGGGAAACTGGCTATCCACATGTAAAATAAAAGTGGATTCCTACCACACATCACACACTCAAAAACTACAGAGGCAAGAAAAAATTCCAAATGGATGAAAAGTCTAAATGTAAGAGCTAAAATTATAAAACTTTTAGAAGAGGCCGGGCATAGTGCCACTCGCCTGTAATCCCAGCACTAGGGAGGCTGAGGCAGGAGAATTGCTGTGAGTTTGAGGTCAGCCTAGGCTACATCGTAAGTTCAAGGCCAGCCTGGAATACACAGTGAGACCCTGTCTCAAAACAAATCAAAAAACTTTTAGAAGAAAACATAAACATAAATCCATATGACCTTGGGTTAGGTAATGATTTCTCAGATACAATAGCAAAAGCTATTTTAGCAAAAGAAAAAAAATTGGACATCAAAATTTTTTTTAATTTGTGCTTCAAAAGACACCACAAAGAAAAAGAGAACAGAATTGAGAAAATATTTGCAAATCATGTACCTTTAAAGGATTTACACCAAAATATACAAAGAATTCGTATACTTCAACAAAGACAATCCAACTTTTTTAAATTTTTTTATTTTTTTTGGTACTGGGGATTGAACTCCGGTCCTTGCGCTTACGCAGCAGGCGGCAAAACCGCTGAGCTAAATCCCTGGCCCAACAATCCAACTTTTAAATGGGCAAAGAATCAGAATAGTTATCTCTCCAAAAGAAGACAAAACTGCCCAATAAGCACAAGAAAAGATGAACAACACCATTAAGACACTGGCAAAATTCAAAACAAAACCACGAGATACCACCTCACACCCAGTAAGATAACTATAATCAAAATATCAGACAGTAGGCCAGGTAGCATGGTACCTGTCTGCAATCCCAGATACACAGAAGGCTGAAGCAGAAGGATTACAAATTCCAGGCCAGCCTGGTCAACTCAGCAAAACTTTACCTCAAAATAAAAATAAAGAATAAAAAGGACCAACATCACTGGTCATTCGAGAGATGCAGATCAAAACAACACTGAGATTCCACCTCACCCCACAAAGAATGGCTGCTATCAAGAAATCAACCAATAATAAATGCTGGTGGGGGTGTGGAGAGAAAGGAACCCTTCTCCATTGTTGGTAGGAGTGCAGACTGGTGCAACCTCTGTGGAAATCAGTATGGAGATACCTCAAAGAACTAGGACTGGAAGTCCCATTTGACCTAGCTATTCCCCTACTGGGAATCTTCCCCAAAGAATTAAAAGAATGATACCACATTCCAAAAAAAAAAAAAAAAGAATCATACCACAGCGATATATGTGCACCTATGTTTATAGTGGCACAATTTGTAATAGCTAAGGTTTGGAAACAGCCCATGTCCCCATCAACTGGAAACTGGATAAAGAAGCCGTGGTTTTTTTATAAAATGGAGTACTACTCAGCCATAAACAATGAGAAACTAGAGACATTTATAGCTAAATGGATGCATATTGAGGCCATACTCAAGTGAAATAAATAGGACACACATGTGTAAATACTGAATAGTATCTCTAGTGTGAGAAACTGAAAGTGTAAATAAGGATGAAAATGATTAAAACAAATAATTGATAATGTGAAATAGGAAAAGGTCCAAAGGTGGAGGGATAGCAGGAGGGGAAGGGGAAAGGGAAGAAAGGAAAGGAAAAATTATGAGAAAGAAAAAAAAATGGAAACAAAGTCTATGTAAATAGGGAAGGGTGGTGGGGGTGAAGGGCGCATAGGTAATGGAGGAAAAAATAAGAACCAAGATACATCATATTCAGGTACAAACACCCAATGATAAATGTAAATGTATTATATACCTAAAATGTACCAATTAATATATATATATATATATAAAAGAATAAAAAGGGGTGGGATGTGACTCAGCACTCCCTGAATTCAATCCCCAGTACTTCAGTACTGAAGAAAAACATATATAATAACAAATGTTATTTTGTGGGGAAATTATTACCTTAGTGCATCACTGTTAGGAATGTAAAAGGCCCTTCGGAAAACAACTTGGCAGTTCCTCAAAAGGCAGGCGTTCCCAGCACTCTGGGAGGCTGAGGCAGGAGGACTGAAGTCTGAGCTCAGCCTGGGTAATTTAGCAACTTAGCAAGACTTTGTTTCAAAATAAAAATAAGGGTTGGGAATGCAGCTGAGCACGAAGGCCCTGGGTTCAGTCCCAAGTACAAAAAAAAAAAAAAAAAAAAGAAGAGGCCGGTATTCAGAACCCACAGCTCACAGGCTGCATGCAGCCCAGGACGTGGCCCCAGGAGATCACGTGCTTAGAAAGTCACATCATGTGATTTTAGCGGCGTTCTCATGACTTCGCTGTGTGGGTGCTTGCACACAGACTGTGCAGGGGACAGGGGAGCACCATGTAGGGCAGGGCACAGTGCCTGGTCATCCTGCCTCTCATGCCGGTCAGACAGAAACTGTCGCATGCCAGGTGCGGTGCCATGGGGCAGGGAACACACAGTGGTTACCATGACGGTGGCTCCACCTCCCTACATGAGTGTGCACCTGTGAAGACCGGCCTTTATTGTCACTACTGGTGAGACACATGTTTTTTTACTGAATTATTAAATCTGGGTTGTTTATTTCATAAAATAATTCAATGTTAAAATACTTTTTAGCAGCTTTGCTACAGGAGGTACAAAAGTGTATCAAATACTAATTTGCTCATGATATTATCACAATTACAAATACAGTATTGCTAACATAAAAATGCTATAATGAAAAAAATTTTATTTTGAGACAGGATAGTTCAGGCTGGCCTTGAACTCATGGCGATTCTCCTACCTCAGCCTCCCGAGTGCTGGGAGGCTATAATAAAAATATTTTTAAAGGAAGTTTTGTTACTTATACACACCAATTATGTGTTTTATATGCGGTCCAAAACAATTCTTCACTCACTGTGGCCCAGGCAAGCCAAAAGCTGTATACCATGTTACAGTTACCACAGGATCCAGCAATTTCACCCCTACACATGCATCCAGGAGAAATGACAACTATGTTCATATAAAACTAAAATAAAAATGCTCATGGCAGCATTTTCCAAGATAAAATTGAAAAAGCTGAAACAACCCAGTCATCCATCAAGAAAGGAATGGATAAACAGGATATGTCCATAGAATGAAACACTATTCGGCAATAAAAATAACTGAAGTAATGATATGAACTACAACCTGGATGAAGCTTACACTGAGGAAAAAGACAGGCACAAAGGACTATATGCCGTATGATTCCACTGAGATGAAAGGCCCCAAAAAGGGAAATCTAGAGAAACAGAAAGGAGACTAGTGGTTCCTTTGTGCACAAGAATGACTGGCACAGGGTGAAGTTTTCTTTTTAAGGTGATGAAAATGTTCTAAAATTCACTGTGCTAATGGCTATATTAACTGTGAGCTTACTAAAAACAATGAACTAGATGCACTGCATGAAGGTGAATTGTATCTCAATACAGCTACTAAGAAAGCATATTTATGTTCTCCTATTTTTATATCCTTCTACTTGTCTGACCCAAAGTATGAAACTGTTTCTGTTCACCCTATCTCCATTGCCAAAAGATAAGCTCTGAGGAAAGGAGCTGAACTATGTTGGAGTCATTTGCGGTTCCCAAAGAACCTTGGCCAAATGTCAATGTCATATTCATTATAAAGTATTTCCACTGTCAGGAAAGGTGATTTTAAAAATCCATTTGACCTTACAAAACAAATGCAAAATAAAAACACCCCTCCC